TACATTCATACCTCAAGATTATTTGTCCCATAAATGCTACAATTTTTTTTTTTTTTTTTTTGGTACCAGAGATCGAACTCAGGTCCTTGTGCTTTCGAGACAGGCAGCAGAACCACTGAGCTAAATCCCCGGCCCTAGATAAAAGATTTTAACAAGTTAGAAATAAAAGAACTTCCTTAACCTAAATAAATAATAAATAGAACTTGTTTAACCTAATAACCTACAGTAAACTTAGAGCAATCATCCTTGTAAGTGATAAAACAAAGAGCCAGGCATAGTGCCACACACTTGAAATTCCAGCACTCAGGAAGCTGAGGCAGGAGGATAGCCACAAGCTCAAAGCCAGCCTGGGCTACATAGTGAAACCATCTCAAGAAACAAAAAAAAAGAAATAAAAAGAAACACTATCATATCAACAAGAAATACAATAAATTTAGGATTAGTCTAACAGAAGATACACAGAACTTTTTTTTTTTGGTTGGTTGGTTGGTTTATTGTGAGACAAGATCTCACTACGTAGTTCAGCCTGGTCTTAAATTCACCACATGTTGCAGGCTGGCTTTGAACTTGTGCCTATCCTCCTGCCTCAACCTCCTGAATACTGGGATTTCAAATGTGTGCCACTATGCCTGGCTACAGAGCTTTTATGAAGAAAAATTTTTAAATATTTTTGAAACTTTCAAAAGACCAGCATGTTGTGCCTTTTCATGGGTTGTTGCTAATGAAGAGTCTGAGCACCATGTTTAAGTCCATACACACATGTGTATGCATTATAAACATACATAGACATACACCATGTAGATGGGACTTTATGGAAGACTATTTTCTGCCTTAACTAGGGTGAGAAATGCTCAGATTTAATGCACTACTCCTAGCCTGAAGCTGATAAAGACAGCTCAGATCCTTTGCTCCACAATTGCCAAATCATTCCATACTTGATCTCTTTCATTTCAAGATGGTAGGAGAGGATTTGGCTTGTCCTTGCATCCAGTTTTTGGTCACAGTGTTCTAGTCAGATTTCTCATATTTGGTAACTCTTTCTTCCTAGATCAATCACTTCTATCCGGAGTGAGCTGATTCCATACCTAGTAAGAAAACAGTTTTCCTCAGCTTCCTCACAACAGGGACAAGAAGAAAAAGAGGAAGATATAAAGAAAAAGGAACCGAAATCCTTAGGTCAGTCCTTGGGTTGGTGCACTAAGAGTGTCACAGTAGGAGAGAGTGGCTGGGCAGCTTAGCCCAGCCCAAGAGTCCTGTCTTTTTCTTTTCTCCATGGCTTATAATCTTTTTAATGTATTGTTGAATTCAGTTAGTAAGTGTTTATTAAGGATTTTTGCATCTACATCTACGTTCATCAAGGATATGGGCTATACTGTAGTTTTCTTTTTTTTGTTGTGTCCTTATCTGGATTTGGTATCACAGAATCCCTGTCAAGGCAGCGGACTTTTTTCTAGTCTATGGGGCAAGACAAGGTAGCTGACCCCACTCCCGAGCTCTGCATAAGCTTGCTCAGGCAGATTCCATCACTGTGCTTTTCAGGGATGGGCTAGGCATGCTTCCAACTCCATTTCTGGTTCATAGCTCTGTTCTTTTCTTTTTTTTTTGGTACCAGAGATCAAACTCAGGTCCTTGGGCTTGCGCAGCAGGCAGCGAAACCACTGAGCTAAATCCCCAGCCTCATAGCTCGGTTCTTAACATTGGACCATTATGTCTTTAAACTCTGCTTGCTATTTCTTTGCTCCCTCGTTTTTCAGTCTCCGGGCAGACCAACTTCTTTTTTTTTTGGTACCGGGGATTGAACTCAGGACCTTGCGCTTTCGAGGCAGGCGTTGGAACCACTCAGCTAAATCTGCGGCCTCAGACCAACTTCTGATTAAACTCGGCCTCTTCTGTCAAGGGAAGGCAGGTGAAGAAGTATATAATTATAGTCCAACCAGAGACCAACTAAACTGTCTCCATTGCAGGATCTGAAAATGAGATCTGTCTTGGTTGATGTCATATTCCTAGTCTGTGACCCAGTCCTGTGTTCATATATGTTCTGAAAAAAAATATTTACCAAACTAGTAAACTGAAACAGTATAGAGTAATGGTTAAAATTATAGGCCTTGAGCTATTGTGCTTCTCCTCACCGTAGCCCACCCTACATCCACCGGGGTATTTGGTTTTTGTTTGTGTGGGCCCGCCCACCCCGCTGTGCTCCTCCCCAGCCCCATACTGGCGATCCAATTTAGGACCCTGCTCTTTTGAAGCAGGCTGCCACACCACTGAGCTAAATCCCCACATGGGGTGTATTTTTTAATCTTGCTTTTTTCCTATTTTACTTGGCCCAAGCTCACTCTGCAGAGCCAGTTTCTCCCTCACTCTTCACTTTTACTTTTTAAATGAACTTTGTTTTCAAAAGAAAAGATTAGGGCCGGGGATTTAGCTCAATGGATTGGCCACCTGCCTCACAAGCCCAAGGTCCCAAGTTCGATCCCTGTACCAAGAAAAAGAAAAGCTTATAGGGCCGGGGATTTAGCTCAGTGCTTTCGCTGCCTGCTGCGCAAGCACAAGGACCTAAGTTCATCCCTGATACCAAAAAAAAAAAAAAAGCTTATAGGATTTGGCCTCAGATAACCTGGGTTTGATTCTGACTCTTATCTCTGTGACCTAAGGCAGGTTACTCAAGAGTTCTCAGTTTTCTTGTCATAAAATAAAAGATCTAAAAGGGTTGTTATAAGAGTTTCAAAGCCAGAGGCCAAGTACTCCAGCTGCAAGTTGTGTGCTGTTTCTGTCACAGCACAGCTGCCTGATAATGGTCACAGAGATGAGCTGCACAAAGCAGGCGTGGCTATTCACTAACACCTGGATATCTGTTTGTATTTTTTCATGATTTACAAGCATCATTTATTTTATTTTCCTTAGTGGTACTCATTGACCAAACTTGCTTTTAGGACCTCTTATTACGCATTTTTGTAATACAAGAAAATATACTGGCTCTTTCCATTTGACTTAGTCTTCCAAATTGTAATGGGATTTCCCCAGGGTGGATACTTCATGGTGACTTTCAGGGTGAAGTGTTAGCTATACCTTTTTTCAAAACTTGCCTGAGTCTGTATCTTCTCTGTCTCCTCTCTCTCTCTCTCTCTCCCCATCTCTCCCTCCCCCCCTCTACTTACTTAGTTTGGGTGTTTGTTCTAAAGATATTTACAGTTTTATAAAAGAAGCCAATACACTGACCTCGGCTCCCTATGATACCTGCTGGAATGCCTGTCGCAGAGATAGATGGGAAGACTTGTCCAGGTCACGGGTGCGCTGTTATGTGCACATCATGAAAGAGGGGCTCTGCTCTCGAGTGAATACGCTGGGACTCTACATGGAAGCAAACAGACAGGTGAGAAGATGGGTTTAGAAAAGGAATCAAGGAGCTTCTGCCTTAGAAATGGACTGAGCCTTTTGTCTTATTTCTTCATTAGGTACATAGTAACTTATTCAGAATCTCTCTCGTTCGCAAGGCTGAGCATGGCTTGGAATGTCAGGGGCGGTCATTGAAGTACTCAGGTGCAGCAAAAGGGAAGTAGAGGGCCTGGTCCATCGATCAGGACCTTTACGGCTCCAAGAAAAGGCTTAGATCTCCAGGAAGGCTAACTTCTGGCCTCTGGCTTCAGCAGCTATCTCCTATTCTGTCCACAATGGGAATACTGTACCTATGGTACTTATTTCATCAACAAGCAAATAAATACTTTGTTATTACTTTGTTGAGGTAAACATAGGCACAGGGAGAAGGCTTCCTTAAGAAAGTGAAGGAGAAGGCTGGGGATTAGCTCAGTGGTTCCACCACCTGCCTCACAGGCACAAGGACCTGAGTTCAATCCCCAGTACCAAAAAAAAAAAAGTGAAGGAGAAAAAAAGAAAAAGAAAAGAAAGTGAAGGAGACCAAGTGTTGTAGCACTGTAATCCCAGCACTCAGGAGGTTTGCTGCGAATTCAAGCCAAGCCTGAACTATATAGTGAGACCCTATCTCAATAAATAGTGAAGGAGAATCAGGTATGGTTTACACACCTATATTCCCAGCATTCTGGGAGTCTGAGGCAGAGGATCATGAGTTTGAGGGCAGTCTGGGCTACATAGAGTTCATGTGCAGCCTGGACTACATGGTGAGACCCTGATTAAAAAAAAAAACCAAAGGTGGCTGGGGGTTTAGCTCAGTGATGCCGCCACCTGTCTCACAACACAAGGTCCCGAGTTCAATCCCCGGTACAAAAACAAAAACCAAAGGGTGGTGGGAAGAGACAGAAACGGGGTGGCGGGGGGGGGGGGGGAGCAGGGGAAAACAGAGTGGCTAGATGGCAAACCTCAAGGAAGGAATGTTTATGAGAGACTGTCTGGTAGAAGTCTTGCCCCTCTTTTCTATTCCTGTAGTTTGTGAGATACAGAGAGTTAATAGCTTCCACTCAAAGGGATGCAGTACCCTCCAGGTCAATCAGGAAGTAAAAGCATGGGGTAAAAAGAGGAACAGTGAAGAAATGGAGGATGTAGGTGAGCTCTTTATTATGTAGTCAGCATAGGAGGAAGGATTTAGGAGGGAAGGATGGTAAGACTAGGAAACAATACGGAGACATAAAGGATTGAGGTGAGATTAGGAAAAGATAATTGAGGGAACTACATTAGGTGGCATTCAAGGATGATAGGGATGAGATTATAAAAATATTAGCTAAAGGGCCGGGGATATAGCTCAGTGGTTCTGTTGCCTGCCTCAAAAGCACAAGGTCCCGAGTTTGTTCCCCGGTACCAAAAAATAAATAAAATAAAAATATTAGCTAAAGGCATTGTTCCTGGCTCTATGGAAACTGTCATGACTGATGCAGACTGAGGTAGGCAGTGGCATGGGATGTAGAGTAAGGATATTATTAAAAATTGAAGGGCCAGGGATTTAGCTCAGTGGCACTCTACCTCCCTGGCAAGCGCAAGGTCCTGAGTCCAATTCCCAGTACCAAAAAAAAAAAAATTGAGATGCCCCTAAAGAAAACCTGGCTCTGGAATCTTCAAGAGCCACACCAGAGAGTGGCTATAGCCTCAGCTCCAGACTTCAAGTTGACTTCAACCTGTACTGGTTATAAATCCAAGGGAATCCCAAGCCAGAGAGCTATGAGAAATTGCAGTTATGTTTACCTATGACTGGAGTCTGTCAGGCTGACTTGGAAGCAGGTTTATAGATAGCCTTAGGCTGGAAAAGTATCCTCTGAAGTGCCAGTAGGGTCTGTGGCAGCAGACAACCCCAAAGGGCCTTGGTTAGTGTCTTAGTTTCTTTTCTCACCGCTGAGACACAATGCCTGACACCCACAAGATAAAGGGGGAAAGATTTATTTAGCTCACAGTTTGTAGAGGTTTCAGTCCATAGTCAGGTGGTTCCAAAGCAGGGTGGCATGGCAGAGAGGCATCACAGAGGAGAAATAGTCCATGGTGTGGCAAGCAGGAGGCAGCAAAGAAGCTGCGAGCCTACCTTTCCCTTTTATTCCATCCAGGCTACTGGTCTTGTGGGTGGTGCCATCCACACCCAGAGTAGAACATCTGTCTTCAGTAAATCCATTCAGCCATGCCCAGTGCTATGCTAATTCCAACCAGTGGAGTGATTTAGTACCATACACTCTTAATCCTAGTATCATACACCCTAGATCCAGCCAGTTCTGAAAAGCCCTACCTCTGAGCCCATGAGGCTTTGTGGGGAAACATCTAGACACAAGCCATAACAGTTGAATTTAATAGAAGACCAGGGACTGAAGGATTAGCTTTCATATGCCAGTTTGACCAGTGACCACCATATACAGTGCTCCAACCAGCATTCTGCCTGTGCTGGAGAATCATAGGGCACACTACCTGTGCCTTCCTAATGCGCCAGTAGCCAAAGCCCCTGTACCCCTAATCTTGTCAGTGTTAGTATGAATAGTATGACTCCCCCTCCATTTTCTTTTGGCTGGTGAAAAACATGGATTTCTTAACAGGATCAGTCCTAATTGTGAAATTTGTCTTAACATTGCTTATCCGCCCCCCCCACCCCGCCCCTTGTACATAGCCAGAGTAGCAGGAGCTGAGCAGGAACCTAGGATGATTGTGCCAACACTCATGATATTCCTTGTCCCTATCAGGACTCCTTTCCTAAGAAGTGCTGCGTGGGTACCTCAAAGGCTTGTCTCCCCACTGATAAGACTTTCACAGAAGAACATTCTCAGCTAAGAGACTGAGGATACAGCCATCTAGAAGCTAGTGCATGAACAATCCAGATCCTGGGGGACATGCAGCAGCCTCATTCTCCCTCACAGAGAGAAAGCTGTGGCTGGGAACTTCCCACATCTCTGACTGGGCATTGGGCTCTACCTAAGGTCTTTTTAGGCATTTTTCTGGTCTTTACTGACTGAATCTCTTTCCTCAAGGTGCCCAAATTGCTGTCTGCTCTTTGTCCAGAAGAATCATTGGTCCATTCATCAGCCCAGATTGCTAGCAAACATCTGGTAAGTGTTAGCATGGGCAAGGCTGTCATAGGACAGTTTCTGGAGGACGTTGAGACTTGTCCTTGAGCCCTCTACCTCCTTAGCCCTAGAGAAATCCTATCTGGGTCTAATAATAAAATCTCACTCAAGCCTTCCTGGGAAGACACTAACCCTGAAAGGAAGGGTTCATTTAGTGTTGGACTGAGACACAGGGGTGTTCAATCCCTCTTCTTCCACCCTGATTTGAGCACTGTCCTCAGGAGAACATATCTGTGCACCCAAGTGGGTGGCTGTATACATGTGTCCATTTTGTTTTATTTCCATTTGAGTTGGTATCAGGGGTTATATGAACTTTTAGCCTGAGAAATAAGAATGATGGTCCCTTTTGCTGAAATGTCTTTATGGAAAGATTTCATCAGACCCCAGCTCAAGGGATCTGGGGATCTAATTTACAGTTGGTTTGGATGTATAGACAAGCTTTTCTACTTGCCTTTTGTAGGTTGGAATTGACAGCCTCATTGGACCAGATACACAGGTTGGAGAGAAGTCATCAATTAAACGCTCAGTCATTGGTTCCTCCTGTCTCATAAGAGATAGGGTGACTATTAGCAATTGCCTTCTCATGAACTCAGTCACTGTGGAAGAAGGGTATGTTTCCCCTTGTGCCCTCTTGAGCCAAGACTCCTGGTATTCTGTAGGAGGCATGGAGGCCAGCCTAGCTCAGGAAAGGACTAACTTTGGGGAGAGAAAGAAGGGGAATGGAAAAAAATGGGCCCCTTGAGGTCATAGTTTTGCCCCATAATGATGTGTTCTCTCAAAGCATTTCTAGCACTCTCCTTGTTCTTTATAACAGTCATGGTCCTGGGAGAAGTGGCCTTCTTTTCCCTTGGTATCCGCTTAATGAGGACAGCCACAGTAGTGAGCCTTTGGTAGTACTGGGATGGTACTGCACCAATGACTAAGTGTCATCCTCTCCTGTCTCAGTACCCAGACTGGCCCTAAAGAAAACAGAGGGCCTAAGAGGAGTAAGTGTATGAAGGGCCTAGGAGGAGTGGATGAGCCACACTCTGCTTTTGAGGGCAAGCTTCCCTACAAGTTGTAGAGAATCTTCCTCCCCCCCGCCCTTGGGAATATTCCTCATTCGGAGACATTTGAGAGTGTTCTAAAATCTTGATTTATGAACAGCCTGGACTTGGAGTGAGAGGACTTCTATGATACTTAAATTGAGATCCTTCTTATGGGCCTCAGGTTTTTCTGTGTATAAAATGTAAGCATAGGTGGTAGAAGAAAGGAAAAACTTTTTTTCATTCAATAAATATTCATTAACCATATATTAGGCCATATTGGCATTATTTGTTGTCACACATGGAGAAATGCCAATTTCTCATGGCCTAAGCCATTACTGAATTTCTACAATGTGCTGTCTACTTAAGTGAAGCAGCCTT